GCCGACGCGGACGACGGCGGCTGGTACGGCAAGGGCTACCGCAAGGGCCGGCGCCGCCGCAGGTAGCCCGAGCCCGACGCCCGGCCGCCGTCGCCGCGCGCGTCGGGCGTCGCGTCGCAGACCACGACCTGAGCGCTTCTGACGGTCTCCGAGACGCAGAGTGTTACGACGGATCTATGGACGGACGTTGATGACGTGGAACATTGTAGCATTTTATCGCGCGGCTCCGCGAGCCGGGTGTGGAGCGCAGGTTTTGTCGAACAAAGTCCCGGCTCGGTGTCGGGCCGTGTTTTGTGGGCGTAGGTACTCGCCACGCCGACCGCCTCAGTCTAGCGTTTTGTATGATTTTATAAATGAACTAATAATAATTAATTTAATAGTGAAATGAATATTATTTGTATTATGAATATGATAGCTGCTGAAGCTGTGTGAATGTTGATTGATATGTGAAATTAATAATTAGTAAGCAAATAAATTTGAACAATTTGAACTGAATTTATTTCCATTTCCTCCCCACAAGCAGCCAATGTGTACATGAACGAGGCAAACGGTACCTCGCTGTGATAGCACTTCTAGATAAAACACTGTTTCAACAATGAATTATCACATATTCAGTGTGTGAATTATGATGATGATTTGAATGTGTCATGTCGTTTTAGCTCGGAGTTTTAAGATCGCGAAGCTCGTGTATTTTATTACTCGCCGGCGATACTAGCGCCACCCTGTTATCCAGCACAGCACAGTTCCACTAAGACGACATCGCTGGGCCCCACTTATCTCCGCGTACAGAGAGTCAGCTCTACCGTGTTGCGTGTATGTATGGCGGCGTTATGTCGGTGCAGCTAAATATCGCGCCTCTGTTATCTGGAGTTTCCGGCCGCAGTAGTCGCAGTACGCGGCGCGGCCGGGGCCGGACCGGACGAGTGACTACTAGTGCGCGCTCGCGTGACCTGCTTGCAAGCCCAACGGCTTCATTTGAAGTAAAGCTCATTTAATTGTAAGCATAATATTATATTTCTCAATCTTAGGTTTAGGTTTTATTTTTATCACATTGTCTTCGGTATATGCTTTTATATGTACTTATTATTATAAAATTCATAACACAATAAAACTAGAATGAAAATTCCGTAGGCGCATTAAAAATAATAAAATAAATACTTAGCGAAGGGTGTTACTACGTCGATGTACAATCCAAGAGTGTGGTCTATTTTTTCGGTCTATGTTTGTTTGTAAATCACATAAAAATACTTTTATCCGATTCAAATGCGGTATATAACCGACTTCAAAAAGAAAAAAATACGGTTCTCAGTTTGACCTACACAGATATATATACAACATGTAACGTAATTAACGCACACCCTCAAACACCCAAATTAGAATATTGTGTTATAATCATAATACATACTATCAATTTTTGATTCAACATTTATATGCATCCTTACTGGTCTTGTCATAAGGTTTATTTTTCTTTATTTTGTATTGAATGATAGAATTTGTATGAATAAAAATAAAACTGCTTATTGCTTTGACTTACGGTCCATTTCGATTTGTTTTGAAAATACAGTTTCCGTAGTTTTAATTATTTTTGGGATAAATAATTACCTATACTTACTAAAAATTATAAAAATCGATTCAGTTACGTTAACGATTCTGAACAAATTATTTTCAGGATGTGCGTTACAATTTTTATATATATTTGTGCACGATTATCTCACGAAACAATGAACAGATTTTAATACGGTTTTGAGAAAAGTGTTTGTTAGGAGAAGGTTTTACATGTATTTGTCTTCTTTCAACTTAACATCTGGTGGATAAACATTACTCACCCCACCCGTAACGAGACAAAAAAAGCTTTTATCGAGAGGCGTATTTAATAGTTAGTGCGAATGGCGGCGCGGCAGTGGTGGCGGGCGGGCTGGCGGCGCGGGCGCTGGCGCGCGCTGGCGCTGGCGGCGGCGGCGCTGGGCGCGCTGAGCGTGCGCGTGCCGGCCGAGCGCGCCGCCGACCTGCGCCTGCCCGGCCGAGCGCCCGCCCAGCTCGCGCACTCGCTCGCCGACTTCTCCAACCAGCCCGATATGTATGTATCCCTGTCCCTACGAACTTTTTTCAACATGACCAGTAGGGTGGGCAGAGTTGCATATACCGATACAATATAAGCTTATCGCAAGATGTAGGTGCCTGCATACATCTCCGGCCACACCGTAAGCTCGGGTCTGTGTATGGCGAGCAAGGGTAGTTCGCTGCCCGACCAGAACCAGACCCGAGCGTACGGCGCGTCGCATTCTGCAAAACACTAAAAGATTCCTTAAATTAAGGCTGCTTACAATTTTGTGACCATTAAGTTATATCATATTGTTGTAGCTCGTCACCGACTTCTTACCGATCAGTGGGTGAGCAATCTGTCAGTACAGATGTTACTCTGACACTTCGTCCCGCCTCACCCTAGGCGGGAGAAGTATTTGGATGATTTTCCCCACTCAAAAACAAAATACACAATCAATAAAAGCAAAAACAGCCAAATTTTTAGGCATCCTAATTGATAACCATCTTACATGGAAACCTCAAACAGAATCTGTTTGCAAAAAACTAGGTTCATCGGCATATGTACTGCACAATCTTTCAAAAAAAGTAAACATTGATGCAATACTAGTCGCTTATCATGGCTTGGTAGTGTCAAATCTGAGATTTGGTCTTATATTCTGGGCAATTGTTGTGAGCGGGAAAATATTTTTAAAGCCTAAAAACGCTGTTTAAGAGTTATGTTTAAACTAAATGTTACAGACAGCTGCAAAACTTACTTTGTAAATAGTAAACTATTAACTTTTCCTTGCATCTACATATTAGAACTATCTATTTTTGTCAAAATGAAAAGTAACATCAAATTATTCCCTACATTAAAGGATACAACTTTAAAAAAAAAAAAAACTAACCGGAATACAACTCTAAGGTCTCAATATAAAGACAAGCTATGTACCGGTGGTTACAAAACATCTTTATTAAAAAAAAGTGTCCTAGGTATGGCACCTGTCGTTTATAACAAGATTCATAGCATTTTTTTTTCTCCAAACAAATATATTTATTTCCATTTTGTGTCAACAAAATGGAAATAAATATATTATAAGCTTAGATTAAGTACATATATATGTGAATATATATGTACTTAATCTAAGCTTATTATTTAACTATTCTAGGTAGGTTACAATACAATGCCTGTATAGAATTAAATCTGTACCACAGGCTTTGAGGTCGCGTGCATTATACATTAGGATAATATAACTAAGCCATAACAATATTATTTTTACAGTCACCAATATTACAAAACCTACATATGTATGTATACATAACTTAGGAAACACTAACTTTATACTTTCATTTATTAAAATAATTATTATCTATTTATACCTATATATTATTTATTTCATGACAATCAACAAATCCTCGCTTTTTTCATAACGTTAATGATAGTAGATACTGAGAAATGCGCTGTTTTGCTCTGGTGTAATTTACATCGTAAACCAAGGTTTCTTTATTAATCTTATTGTAAGTGTAGCATGCTGTTTTAGTACAGTGAATAGTATGAATAATTGTCGCACTGTCAGCACTTTACTAGACTCATACAGTAAGCCTGTGGGGTAGCGGTACGGTCTGTGCGTGGCGACTTTCAAGATGGCTCTTTGCGCTCGTTCTATTGGAAGTATCAATGTTTTTCCACTTCCGCCCCAAGAAGTAATGCAGTATTGGATTATCGATTGACACAGGGCTTTATAAATTTGAATAATTAACTTGATATCACCAATAGACCGCAATTTTTTAAAAACAAATATCACTCTTGAATCCAATTCCGATCGATCGACATGGGTATTGTGAAATTTCGTACTCTTGAGTTGTAACACTAGCGCGGTTACGCGCTAGTGGCGCGGTTAACGGTTGGGGTTGTATAATTTTGACATTGGATAATTATTGAGATATTATTGGATTGAAATTGCACTGACATTGAGATTGGTTTCAAGAGTAAGCACCCAGTTTCCGAACTCTAGATGTTAAAGCAGCGATATGTTGTTTAAAGGAAAGGGTTGCATCTAGAATAACTCCTAGATACTTAATGTTATCTGTTATTACAATTTCCGGACAGGTACAAGCGTTAGTCACGATTGAGCATTCTGGTTTATGCGCATACAAATGAAATTCATTACGTGCTAGAGGTTTACGCTGTAGTAGTACCTAAGGTGTGGTAGTAATAAGTATACATACACGTGTAATCCTTTCCTATATAACCCAATTTATTATTATAATAAAGGCAGTCTTAATTCATCATTTGATCGTTTTACTCATCTCCTGGCATGCGCCTTACATGGCGACCCTGCCCGAGAGAGCCGCGAGTCGAAT